GGGGGGCTGCTAGCTCTTCCGAATAGGCTCTAGCGTCCGGCGGTTGGCGCCCAAACGGGTCGGTGGCGGTGGTGGTGGTGACAGCGAAACACATTCACACACACACACACACACACGTACGTACACCAGTGTACATTCAAACGGGGGAGGTCAGAGCGCCCCCGCCACGCGAGTGGCATGTCCCTGCGCCACCTCCCTTCCCTTCTCCCTCGTCCTCGCGCTACCTCCCTCTTTCCCCCCCTGTTTCCCCCTTCATCCTTTCCTTGCCTTCTGTTCCTTCCCCCGCTTGCCCTCTCCCGGGAGGAAGTCTTCCCTCCCCTTCCGGCTGCGCCCTGCGCCCTGCTGTTGCCGGATGCGCTTCTCGCTTGCCCCTGCGGCGGCCAGGCCGGCCGCTGATGCGCCGTCGGCCAGTGCTGGCGCCGATCGCAGCGCCATTGACCTGGTCTTCCCGAGCGCTTCGCTCGACTCGGCCGGGCAGATCGAGCTCCTGGCCGATACGGCGGCCCTCCTCACCGAGGGCGCCATCGCCAAGCTCCTTCGGACCCCGGCTGACCGGGCGTACTTCTTGGAGTCTCTCTGCCGGCAGGTCAAGCGCTTCTCCACCCCCGGTGCTGGCTCCTCGATGGTAGGTTCATGTCTTGGCGACCATTTGCCCCAGGTCTTTTGCCTGGCCTCTCTTTTCCACTGGTCGGGAGTGGCCACTCACTCTTTCCTGTGCTCGCTCCTCCTCCTGTCTCTGTTCCTGTCTCTTGCCCTCTTTCCGCCTGGTACAGGCCACTCTCGATCGGATGCGAGCTCTTCAGAGCCTGCTTACCACCGCCACTTGCTTCTTTTACGAGTTCCCGACCGCTTCCATCTACGACGTGGTTCCCTTCATCAAGGCAATTGCGGTACCTCCCTTCTGCCTGCCTGCCTGCCTGCCACGCGCGCGCACACACACACACACACACATCTCTTTCCGCCATTGGCCTTCATTGTAAATGCCTCCGGCCACCTGACCACGCCATTCCCCTTTCCCCATGTCCCCCCCCCCCCCGGCGCAGGACATCCCATTCCTCCGGAACATCGACCCGCTGAGCTTCACTTCTCTGGAGGAGGAGCGTGGTGCTGGTGCCACGGACGCCGGCGGCGCCCTCACCTCCGAGGAGCTGAAGCTGCAGATCCAATTCCGCCTGGCGGCGGTGACTGCTCTGCTGGCCTGCCTGGCTTTGGCCCGGGCGGCGGATGATATCTCCCATGTCTTCCCCTCGCCGCTGGGCGCGGAGTTTTGCCAACTGGCGGCCACGCTGGAGTCGTTGTCGAACACGTCGTCGCTCTTTGGCTCGGTCATGCTCGCCTGGGCGGCCATGCTTTGTGTGTTGGTGCGTGTGCCTATCCCCCCCCCCCCCCCCCTCTCTCTCTCTCTCTCTCTCTCTCTCGCGAAGACTCCTATTGCTTTGTCGTTCGCTGTTCGGACGCACGCACGCACGGACGCACGCACGCACGCATTGGGGAGGATCTCCCGGTGCTGCGTGCTCTCTGGTCTGGTTTCACGGCTCTGCTGACACACGACCATCCTTCGCTTTCGGCCCATTCTCCAGCACTCAAGTGCCCCGAGCCTGTCGGACCTGGGTAGCTCGGCGCGTTTTTCCGCATCCGACGACGCACTCGATATCATTGGTTCCTTCGGCGCGGTGGCCGTGCGTTCCTTCGACCAGAACGCCCTGGAGGTCCTGTGCGAGCTCCTGGAGTCGCCCTATTGCGCCAGCTCCGAGGTATGGACACTTCGCTATTTCACCCTCTTGGCGCCCGGTCCCGGCATCGACTCTAACCAATGCCCCCCCCCCCCCCCGCCCCCTCAATGCTCGGGACTCTCCATCAGCCCTATTTCCACATGCAGCGCTCCGTCTCCAAGGGCCTGCTGGACATCCTGCAGGTGGCCTTTGACCTGAATCAGATCGGTCAGACCCATCACCTTATCCGCCTGCATGAGGCGGTCTTCACCTTCTCGCCGGCCCTGTGCAAGATCTACTGGGAGCAGGTGGGTTTGCTCTCGCTCTCTTCTCTTTCCGCCGCTCCCCTACCTCTCTCTGGACCTCTCCCGGTCTCCGCTCTTTCCTCTGCATCTACTCACCCCTCAAGCGCGCGCGTCGTTTATCCTCCCCCCTCTCTCTCCCCCCCCCCTTTCCCCGGCCTTGCATTTGTGCACAGGACTTCGCCAACCTCAAACTCCAGTCACTGCTGGTCCTGGCCACGGAGCGCCTTCTCCACCAGGACAATCCGACGTTCTTCCTCCAGGCGCTGGCGGCCCTGTGCGGCCATCACCTGCATGCGGCCACGGTGACCCGGTTCCTGGCCGAGCCACTGGTCCTGCCCGGCACCCAGGGCGACATCTCCAATGCGCCGGCCGGGTGGCAGTACATTGCGCACTTGCTGCACCTGACCCATGCCAATCTGGGGGCCATCCAGCCCTGGGTTGGGCCGCTGCTGACGATGCTGCGGCACTGCCTTGCGGCCCCTGGCGACGGCCCGGCCCATGTGGCCGGACTTCTGGACCGGTACCTGCAGTCGCAGTGTCTGTTGAATATCCTGGTGGACGTGATCAATGTCTTTGTCCGGGGTCTGACGCAGCACAGCGGTGTCGGCGGCGGCGGCGGCAGTGTCGGTGTCGGCACGGCCGGCGGCATTTCCCTTGCCGGGGTTCTGACGCAGCAGGTTGACCTCGGGACCCGGGCGCCGGGGCTGGGCAATCTGTCCGGCATGTCGGTGTTGGGCTTCGGCTCGGCCGGAGGAGACCTCGGCGGGCCGGCCGGGCGCCGGCACCATTACGACATCCAGGATGCCCTGGGCACCCTGGCCCGGGCCATTGAATGTGTGGCCCTGCTATTGCCATACTATCCGGATGAGCTGGTCTGGGGCGGGCGCCTGGTGGCGGCTTCGACGTCGGCTCTGGTGCCGGCCAACCTGCCGGGGCACATCAACCACAAGCTCTTCGAGAAGGAGAGTGTGTATGGGACGTGTGCGCTGGCGCAGGCGTTCGCGGATTTCACGCTTGCGGTGGCCCGACGGGCGTACGGCCACCCGGGCGGCATGGCCGCCACCCACCCGACGAGCCGGGGCCCCTATGCGCAGGTGTCTATGGAGTTCACCCGGCGCTTGGCACTCTTCTGTGTCCGGCATCTGTTCATCGGTCATGCCAACTGGCGCTACCAGCGGCCGGCTGATCGGTACTGTCTGGCCTTCTCGCTCCTCGGCTTGCTGGCCTATTGTCTGACGGTGGCCGAGCCGCCGCCGCCGCCGGCCAGCGGGGCCGCGGCCGCGGCCGGGCCCGGCCCCGGAGCCGGGGTCTCCAGTGGATCTGCCAACCGGCGCCCGGCTAATACCATTCCCCTGTCCCTGTCGGGCGAGAAGCGCTTGCGACTGGCGTCTTCAAGCGCCCCGGCTGGCTATGGGCCGGTGATGCTGCAAATCAGCCGGGAGGCCGATGTGGCAGTCCCCGGGACGAGCCGGGCTGTGTCTGCGGCGACGCCCAGCCTGGCCGAGCTGCTGGCCCAGGATTCCAACCACCGGCCCATCATGGAGCAGGTGGTCAGCTACACGATGTTGAGCTCCCTGGGGAAGGCCGCCGCCGGTGCTTCCTCTTCCTCTTCCTCCGGCGCCGGAGCCAGCTCTTTCTCGGCGCCGCCGAGCTTCTGCCCGCTGGCGGTGCACCTGCTGGTGGTGGATGCGCCGGAGCTGGCTCCCTTGGACATGCTGGCGGCCCTGGAGCGGCACAGCCCGGGAGTCGGCACGGCTGCCACGCATGGGGGATTCACCGCCTTGGCCACGGTGTCGCTGTTGCCGACGGAGCTGGCGCCGGTGGCCTTCCGTGTGTTGACGCTCCTGTGTCAGCGCTTTGCGGCCATGCCGCGGCCGGTGTCGCTGCTGGCATCCTTCGGCACGCAGCCGCATCGGCTGTGCATGTACATCGCCGCGGTGTTTGCCCTGACCGAGGCCGAGCGGGCTGGCATTCGGGCTCTCACACAGGGGGGCGAGCGCCTGGACATGAATGCGCAGCCGGCCCCGGCGGTCGGGCCGCGCCAGCTGGCCGGTCGCCTGCAGACCCAGGTGGCGGGATTCCTGTCGGCGGTGCTGGACTCGCAGCCGGCCCTTGCCAGTCTGTTGCTGACCGGGACCGGGGACACGGTGCCGAACTCCCCGCTGTCGGAGCGCCTTTCGCGTTTGCATTCGGTCGGAGCGGGCTGCTCGCCGGCGGTGGCTGCTGCGGTGGAGGCGGCCGAGGCGGCGGTGTCTGCGGCGGCCGCGGCCTCTACGGCCACCGCCGAGTCTGAAGTCTCCGGCGCCTATGCCGAGTCGGTGGCGGCCCTGCGGGCGTCGCCCCTGCCTCCGGTGCATGGTCTCAGTGACATCAGTTGCATTCAGCCACTGGCGCACCATCTTGTGGGCCGGACCATCACGTATGTGCCGGGGCGCACCTGCTCAGTGTTCCGCGTTGCTGGGTATTCCTTCTCGTTGCCTGCTTGTCTGACCTTCCCTTCCCTTCCCTTCTTCTTCTTCTCTCCCTCCCCCCCCCTCTCTCTCTCTCTCTCTCTTTCTCTCCGTCTTGCCACCCTCCCCCCTCTTCCAACGACAGCGCACCCACTCGCCAGACAGATTCGGCCGAGGCCTGTCTGCAGTTCTTCGAGCGCCTTTGGTACTCGGCCAACTTCGCCCCGTATGTCAAGTGCATCCGCGCATATGGCCTCTTCTGGCAGGCGATCGAAATTCTGATCCTGTCGCGCGGCTCGGTCCTGGCCCCGGTGGATGCCTCGATGCTGGCGGCGGGGCCCGAGAGCTCCGGCTCTCCGGCGGCTGATGATGCGGATGTAGATGCGGATGCCGCTGCGAATGCAGACGCCGACATCGATGTCGACGCCCTGGATGACGAGTCCGCTTGGGAGGAATGCAACACCCATCTGGATGACAGCTTCCACGACAGTGACTTCTACAGCTCCTCCGAGGACGAGACCGAGACCGGGAATACCATGGCGACCTTGAGGCGCTCACCGCCGAAGAAGGCCAGCACCCCGGGCCGGCGCCCGGTCTCGGCCGGGCCCCGTGCGCCGGTGGTTCCGCCAACCGTGCCCTCCTCCCTGCGGCACTCGGTGTCGGTCGATGCGTCTGATGGCATGGCCGAGGCCGATGACAATGCGATCGATCAGCTGGCATCCCTGCTGGAGACGGTGGCCTCGGCGTCCGACGTCCGGGGCCCGGCTGCGCAGGCTCTGTCGGCGCGTGGGGCCTGTGCTCGGCAGGCGGCCCTGGCCATGGGGATTGTGGCCACCGACCTGCGGCTGTTCCCTGCCCGGGCCAGCGGCGCCCTGGCATCTGGTGGCATGGGCGACTCGGATGTCGCAGCCATCGAAGCCCACCGCGGGCGCATCCTGGCGCACCTGCTGGATCTGGATTGGACGCGGACCTGGCTGCAAAATCTGCTAGTGACCCTGGTTCTGGTGGAGAAGGCGCTCAAGTGCCGGACCCCCGGTGGCGCCGGGACTGAGCAGTTGTCCACCTTTGCCCAGGCCCTGACCGAGCAGATTGTCTCCTGGGCCGGGCTGCTGGAGACGGCGGTGCTCGGTCAGCCGTGGCTCTTTTCGGCGGCCCCGGCCTCCAGCAGCTCCACCACGCCGATTGTGGGCCTGATCAACTTGCTGATCGACCTGCTGGAGGAGTGCCCGCTGCTGGGGCACCTCCAGCTGGGGCTTCTGCCCGAGGCATGGGATTCCCCTCTGGGCCGGGCGCATGCGCAGCACCGGCTGGCGGTGGATCGCCTCCAGCAGACCCTTTACTTCCTGGTGGATCGGCTCCTGTCCCCGGAGCAGGGCGATCACTTTGACCGTGTGGATGGTCGCTGGCCACTGGCCGGACGCATCCTCCACCGGCTGGCCGGGCTGCTGGAGGTCATGGCCCCGGTGGGTGTGTCCGGGTGCGGGACTGGGCCGTTGGTCCCGGCCGCGGAGGATGCCCATTGGCTGGCTCCGGTGGCTTCGGACCGGTGCCCGGCATCCGGCCGCGCGGGTCTCATGTCCCCGGGGCTGGTGCTGGCGGCCGAGGGGGAGCATGGCGGAAGCCCGGTCGAGCTGGCGGCCCCGCAGGTGCTGGCCTGCTATGGCTCGGTGCTGACCCTCTTCCGGCGGTTGTTGGTGCACCTGTCGACCACTGGTGACAATGGCTCCGGGCCCAGCAGCGGAGCTGGTGCCGGTGCCAGCGACATGGCGGCCAGCATGCGCGCCGCGGCGGTGCGACTCCTGCCCGGGGTGCTGGTGGCCTTGGGGCTGTTGCTGGCACGGCCGCCGGTCTCGGTGGATCGGCCGGCCGTCACGGCCGACGGTCAGCCGCTGCTGATGAGCACTCCCGGCTGTGCCGGGTCGCAGTTCCTGCTGCTGCTGCCGCTGCTGGCGGCTTGTGCCCGGGGGATGGCCACAGCCGGTCCGGAAGCCTGGACCGGCTCGGTCCCGGCGATGGCCGTGGCTCACGCCCACGCCGACCTACTGGAGCCGCTGCTGGATCTGGCGGCCAAGTCGGTGGCGGAATGTGCCCTGGACTTCGGCCCGCATCATGGGCTGGCGGTGTTTGACTATCTGCTGGCCCTGCTCTCGGTGCCGGCATCGGTCAGCCCGGACAGCGACAGCAGCCCCCCCACCGGTGCCAGCCAGTGCTCGGCCGAGGGCATCCCCTCGAGGCGGGTGCTGCTGGCGCCGCTGGAGCGTCTGCTAGCGGCGCGGGTGCTGCCGCAATTGTCGCTGCTGCTGCCGCGCCTGACGGACGCGGTGAACGAGCGCCTTGGTCGCCTGTGTCAGCTGGTGGATGTGCTTGGGCCCGGTGGCTCGGCGAGCGCCAGCCCGGCCAGCCTGCCCGGCGTGCCGTCGCAGGATCTTTTGCTGTCGGAGGTTGTGGCCGATGCCTCGGCCGGGACTTGGATCGACGCCCTGCGGACGTTGGTGGATCTGGCGGCCGGCTTGAATGGGCACACATTGACGGCCCTGGCTGTCGGGGGCCCCCTGGGCTCGGGCTCGGGCTCGAGCCGGGCCGGCTCCTTCACGGAGGCTTTCGAATTCCTGGACCAGATGGTGAGCTTCGTGACGGCCCTCCTGCCGGCGCTGCAGCAATTCGTCATGCCCCTGTCGCCGATGGACTCCAGGGCGGTGCAGCCCGGGGCGGCGGCCGAGTCGGCCGGGTCGGTGGCTGGCCCCGGGTCCGTATCCCACATGGATGCCCCTTTGCTGGGGGTGTCCTCCCCGGGGGCTGACAGCCCGCGGCTCATCCGCTCGGAGCTGGCCCTTCGCCGGTCGCATGTGGCCTTTGTGTTTGCCTTCGGCAAGATGCTCATGTCCCTGGGACAGGTGTTTTCGCCGGCGGCGCTGGATCCCCGGCTGCAGGCCCGCGCGGCGGGCATCCTGCGCAATGCTGGCAACCTGTGGCTGGAACTGTGCGTGGGCCTGCCGCACCTGGTGCACCAGTGTGCCGTGTTGTTGCGTCTCCCTCGGGCGGCGCTGGCCAGCATGATTGTGCCCAGCTCGGCCACCGAGCGTTTGGCCCTGCGGTCGGCGGTGGCCATCCCAGGCGGCATTGGGAGCGATTCGGCGGCATCGACATCGGCGACCGGCGGCGGGGCTCCCCGTGTGTCCGGCCCGGCGAGCGTGTTGCCTGCCGGTGCGCCGGGGGGCGGTGCCGGTGCCGGTGCCGGTGCCGGTGCCGGTGGCTCGCGGGATCGGCCGGAGTCGGTGAATGGCAGCCCGGCCGAGGGGGCCACTGTGCCGGATCTGGCTGCGTCGGCCAATTCGGCCGCCGCGCGCGCGCTGGCCATCCTCTCGCGTGATGCGCAGGCCACGCGGCTGTCCTCGTCGGTGGTGATTTCGCCGCAGTTGCGGCTGCCCGGCGGGTCGACCGGGTCGACCGGGCCCGGGGGCACTCTCTCGAGCCCGGCGGGTGGTCCGGCCACGGCATGTGGCGCGGCCTCATCGGCGGTGGGCCGGGCTTCGGGCCGTCTGGCATCCGGGTCCGCGGCCTCCCCTGGCAATGAGCTGCAATCTTCGGCCCTGACTGAGACCACTCGGGCGGATGTGCTGTCGTTGCTGGGGCTGTCGGTGGCGGCCCTGGCGTCGGTGCTGTCCGGGGCTCCGGCTCTGCAGGGGCAGCTGCCTCCCCTGGTGGGAGATGGGGACGCCGGTCCGCTGGGCTTGTCGCTGGATCGGGCTCGGCTGTTGGTCCGGCACTTTGCCGTGGCTCCCACCTCGCGGGTGGATGCGTCGTTTGCGGTGAACCCCGCGGCACAGGCGGCCTCCCTGGCGGCCGGCATTGAGCAGCCCTCGCGCGCGGTGGCCTCCCTCGGGACCTTCCTGTTTGCGGCGCGGGTGCTGGCCAACCTGCTGGCCGCTGGGGATCTGAGTTCGTCGGATTGTTGGTTCTCCCGGCGCCTGTTGGTGAACTTGGGCGTGGCGGCTTCGGCGTCGGTCCCCTCGACTCCGCTGTTTGATGCGACGCCATCGCCGGGGGCCGGGAGCCCGCCGCGGGCCGTGGCCGCCGCCGCCACTGCCATCGAGCAGCTGACCTTCCTCGGGCTGATGGTGGTGGCCGATGTGAAGTCCGCCGCGCAGCGTGCCCACCACCAGGCCCTGAGTGCGGCCCTGAGTGCCGGGGCTGCTCCGGGGGGCCCGCTGAATCGGGACCTGCTTTTGTCGTCGTCCTCGTCTTCGGCCGGGGCCAATGGACAACATGGCGCCGGGGCCTCGATCGCCACCCCGGGCGGGGGGTCCTCCCTGCCCCATCTGGCCTCGGCCACCTCGCTGTATGGCGAGCCGCCGCCCTTCTCCGTGACGTCGGCTCTGTCTGGGAGCGGCCTGCGTGCGCGGGGGAACTTCCCCCTGTCGACCGGCGGCATCTCGGCTTCGGCCTCATTGTCCTCCTTCGGCATGAGCCGGTCGGCCCTGCCCGGGGGCCTGGTCCTGCCACCCGAGTGGGTTGTATCCACCGTCGGGCCAGAGGCCGGCATGGATCTTGTCGTGCAGCTCCTTTACTACTCGGTGCGTTTTTCTTCTCGCCTCCGCCCCTGTCGCTTTCGCTTTCCCCCCTCCGGGG